GGTTAACAGAATTCCTTATCCGGATTTTTGGTACGCAGACTGTAATATGAAGTCATTCTTTTCCTCGATTCGGGATTAAAATTGGTGACTTGGGACACCCTAAATCTCCCAAGTGGCGACTCTGAAATAAATAAACCAATCCCGTTTTGATTGTCCTTTAATTGAAAAAAACTCCCTTGCACCCTCGCGGGTGCGGAAAAAGGAGGTGTGACAATGGGAAGCGGATGATTCTGGATAGACTTTGCTCTAAGAAAGTGCTAATTGTGCTTGATGATATAGATCATAAAGATCATTTAGAGTATTTAGCAGGTGATATTGGTTGGTTTGGTAATGGAAGTAGGGTTATTGTAACAACTAGAGACAATTATTTGATAGGGAAGAATGATGTCATTTATACAGTGACTGGACTAGCTGACCGTGAAGCTATGCAGTTGTTCAGTCAACATGCTTTCAGAAAAGAAGATCCAGATGAGTGTTTTAAGGAGCTCTCATTGGAGGTAGTAAATTATGCAAAAGGCCTTCCTTTAGCCCTCAAAGTGTGGGGTTCTTTACTGCATAACTTAGGCTTAACTGAATGGAAAAGTGCTATAGAGCACATGAAAATTAATTCTAATTCGGAAATTGTTGAAAAGCTCAAAGTCAGTTATGATGGATTGGAGCCCATCCAACAAGAGATGTTTCTAGATATAGCATGCTTCTTGCGAGGGGAAGAAAAAAATTACTTCATGTATGTTCTTGAGAGTTGTCATTCTGGAGTTGAATATGGATTGCGTGTCTTAATTAACAAATCTCTTGTGTCTATCTTTGAAAATGAGATTCAAATGCATGACTTTATACAGGATATGGGTAAATATATAGTGAATTTTAAAAAAGATCCTGGAGATCGTAGCAGGCTATGGCTCGCCGAGGAAGTCGAAGAAGTGATGAGCAACAATGCAGTAAGTAGCCTAAGCAATGCAATAATATTTAATTTCTAATGTTTATATTCCAAAGACACATAGGACAACAATTCCAATTATTTGTTCATCTTGCTTTTTACTCTTGCAGGTACGTCTTTTTAGTTGTTTACTTTAATTAGTAGGAAAAGCAAAAGTAATATTAATTGCCTAATTAGTAAAAAAAAACATTAATTACCTAATTTGTTAAGTAGCTTCTTTAATTTACGTTGCCTAATTCGTTTTTCTTATATTTTTTTAAATTGATTAGTCTAGCTAGTAGCCACTTAATATGTTTGATCCAATTTCATTTTTGGACTAAGTTGAAAATTTTATGATATTTTATTACATAATAACTCAATCAGAGATTCTCTTTACCATTATTTATTTTATTATTTTAAAAAGTCACTACAATTTATTGGTATTGTTTCAATTGCAATTTCGTTCTATCGCAACATGAAAAGCTTATAAACTTGACTCTAATGAACTTCTAAGAAAAATGTAATATTAGAAAATTGAACTATAGAATTAATTGCAAAAAGTATTTCTCTGAAGTAACATTAGTATTTCCTAATGATCTTCTTACCAGGGGACCATGGCAGTGGAAGCAATTTGGGTTTATAGTAATTCTAGCCTACACTTTAGCAATGAGACCATGAAAAATATGAAAAGGCTTAGGATATTATGCATAAAGAGTTGGGATGATGGTTCCAATTTTAGCTATCATGGCTCCATTGAGTATCTACCCAACAACTTGCGTTGGTTTGCCTTGGATGACTATCCTTGTGAGTCATTACCATCTACATTTGATCCCAAAATGCTTGTTCACCTTGATCTCAAGCGTAGTTCGATGCATTATTTATGGATGGAAACAAAGGTACAATAGTTGAGTTCTATTTTTCTTTTATTTTTCTCTCTAATTATCTTTGTCCTTTAATTTAATGATAAGGAACAAATATTATTGATATTGTCACGTATTATTTGAGGTACTTTTTATTTTTGCTAGAATTACAATGCATGTCTTTAAATGAACAAAAGTTATTAATTCCATAAGCTCAAGTTAATGTATTTCCATCTCAAAAAATTATTGTAATTTATATTATTTGGGGTTGTTCCAAGTATTAGTGTCTTTTTTTTTCCCAAGCCTTCACATCATCATTTTAACTCATTCAGTTATTTCTCATAGTAAGATTAGATTCATATGAATCTCATCCTAGGGTTGTACACAGTGGGACGGAAGGAATACTTATTAGTAAAACAAAAGGAATGTATTGTGTATAACTATTTTCTTGAATGACATTTGGATCTGTCTTTTTGTTTTAATCTTGAAGAGGTTCACCATTCCTTGGGATGTTGCAGCAAACTCATTCAATTAGATTTGAGTGGGTGTAAAAGCCTTAAGAGTTTTCCATGTGTGAACGTGGAATCTCTTAAATGTCTGGATTTAATATATTGCTCTAGTTTAGAGAAATTTCCAGAAATCCACGGGAGAATGAAGCCGGAGATACTGATTCTCATGCAAGGCTCTGGGATAAGGGAACTACCATCCTCATATTTTCAGTACCAAACTCATATTACCGACCTACATTTGAGCTTTATGAAAACCCTTGTTGCTCTTCCAAGTAGCATCTGTAGGTTGAAAAGTTTGGTTAGTCTAAATGTGAGGGGTTGCCAAAAACTGGAAAACTTGTCAGAAGAGATAGGGGATTTAGACAACTTGGAGGAGTTTGATGCCAGTGATACTCTAATTTCACGACTTCCGTCTACCATTGTACGCTTGAACAAACTTAAAGTCTTGAAGTTAGCTGGATGCTTCGAATACAATAGAGTGCACTTTGAGTTCCTTCTGGCTGAAGGATTACGGTCATTGGAACATCTGGATCTCAGTCGCTGCAACTTAACAGATGGAGAACTTCCTGAAGATATTGGATCCTTATCCTCTTTGAAAAAGTGGGATCTTAGTAGAAATGACCTTGTAGCTCTTCCAAGCAGCATCTGTAAGTTGAAAAGTTTGGTTGTTTTAGATGTGTCAGAGTGCTCAAAACTGGAAAGCTTGCCAGAAGAGATAGGGGATTTAGACAACTTGGAGGAGCTTAATGCCAGTAATACTCTAATTTCACGGCCTCCGTCTTCCATCGTACGCTTGAACAAACTTAAAATCTTGAAGTTTGGAGGCTTCAAAAATAGAGCGCACTTTGAATTCCCTCCTGTTGCTGAAGGATTACGGTCATTGGAACATCTGGATCTCAGTAACTGCAATCTAATAGATGGAGGACTTCCGGAAGATATTGGATCCTTATCATCTTTGAAAAAGTTGAAGCTCAGTGTAAATAATTTTGAGCATTTGCCTCGAAGCATAGCCCAACTTGTTGCTCTTCGATCCTTAGACTTATCATATTGCGAGAGGCTTACACAGCTACCAGAATTTCCCCCTGAATTAAATGAATTGCATGTAGATTGTCATATGGCTCTGAAATTTATCAATGATTTAGTAACAAAGAGAAAGAAACTACAGAGGGTGATATTCCCTGATGATGAGGATGATGAGGATAATGCACACGTTGATACTATATATAATTTGTTTGCACATGCCCTGTTTCAGAAAATCTCTTCCTTGAGGCATGACATCTCTGCTTCAGATTTCTTGTCCGAAAAGTGTTTACCATTTGGCATTACTGGGAGAAGATCCCAAGTTGGTTCCACCATCAGGGAACGGATAGTAGTGCATCAGTCAATTTACCTGAAAATTGGTATATACCTGATAAATTCTTGGGATTTGCTGTATGTTACAATGGCAGCTTAATTGACACCACAGCTCAATTGATCCCCGTATGTGATGATAGGATGTCGTGCATGACCCAGAAACTTACTTTATCAGAAGGTGATACAGAATCATCCGATGATTCAGAAGGTGATACACCAATTCATTTTTTGTTGGTACCTCTTGCTGTCTTATGGGATACATCTAAGGCAAATGGAAAAACACCAAATGACTATGGAATTATTAGGCTATCTTTTTCTGGAGAAATGAAGGAGTACGGACTTCGTTTGTTGTATAAAGAAGAAGCTGAGGATGAACCAACAGAACATTCCAACCATGACTCCGTGACCGATGAATCCAGTTGTTGTTGCTGTCGCATACTGTAATAACATTAGAAACAAAGGTCACATTCTAATGAAAGTAAGTTGCAAGTTTGGAAGCCCTTTGATCTAAAGCCGGTAGCATTGCCTATGAAGAGCATATGTTTCCTTGGTTTGTAGCAGAACAAGTAGACTCTTGGCCTGAGAAAGAGATTCGCGAGAGAAATTACTTGGGTATGCAATAATCCATTCTTTTTAAATCTACATATATCTATACCATATACTGGTCTTATTAGTAAAGATGACGTGACTCCTCTCTTAGACCAGAATAGTAGTATTGTGAAATGAAATCACATCTTCGCGTTTGCTGACAGGTAAAAACCAATTGCAGATGAATGTTCGCGAAGCAAGAAAGCTGTGCCAAAATGGATGGATGAAAGAAGCCTTGGAACTGTTCTTCCTTTGGGATGTAGAGCTCAACTAGTCTTGTATACTCTTCATCAGAAACTGATGTTCACCTTTTCATTTGTATACTCTCTAACTTTAGCAATACACTTTTGTGTGGAGGTTCAGTTTAGTATAGAGGGACTAAAACAGCATCATAAATATTGTGTTTTCTTTTTTCATTAAATGTTCCTGAAAAGGAAAAATCTGTTTTATTTGGAACTTCAATCGAAGAAGTACATAAGAGTTATTTTTCCATTTGCAATGTTATCTAAATATGCATAGGGAAAACAGTTCCAGGTGTTTGCATTTCATCAGTTAGTTTTTGTGGGGTTCGGTAGGGCGACTCTTTGACACATAATAGTTGCAACAAAACTCAGACTGCTTCGAGTTTTGACTGACAAGTGCAGATGAAAAGCTTTTTGAAAAAGCATGTGTACATGTAAAAGAAAACTCAGGTCGCGGCCAAAATACATAGAGAAAGGAGACTTTTTTCAAAGTGGTTAAGGTAGCTCAATTAGACTAAAAATCATTGCGTGGTTTGAATTCACAACAAAGAAAGAGAATGCGAGGTAGAGGAATTTGTCAACTCGTCAAGTTTACGACCTAAAAGGCCATTTTATCGTCTACACAATTGATCAAAGGCGCTTTGTGATTTCCTTGACTTACCTTTAAAATTATGTCATTAGGCAACTTTTAAACATGTATGAAGAAGAGTTCGGGCTACCAAGTAATGGCGCTATTACATTACCCTGTGATTCGGTTTTCATGGACTACATCATTTCACTGATCAAGAAATGCGTAGCTGCCGGAGATCTTCGAGTGTTTTGAGAGAAAAGGGCCCACAAAGCAATGCTCCTATCGATTCATTCATGTTGCTGTACTTCATCTTCTAATTTGCACAAAGAAAGTGGAAATCAGTAACTTCTTGTTTATTTAGTTATGTCTCATTGTCCAACCCATTTTTTAGTGGATAATATTAGTGGTTAATTATTTTCTTTTAACCATTTTGCCACCCTTAGTCTCAGATAATAATTTGCAAAAGGTATTAAACTTATCATTTTTTATGCATTTGATTTCCAATATCCACTGATATATCCAATTAACGATCAATTCCCTCTATCCCCTTCGCCAAAAACTCTAATGTAATATGGCTTCCACTTTTTTAGTCAGAATGATTCATATATTTGTAAGTTTTGATCAACCAAGTTATCGCCCGGGATAAGATAGTAAAGTCATTCCATGATGATAATGTTAAGAACTTCTTAGTTTCAAAATTGAAAATTGAAAGCTCCATTTCATTTGTTGTGACACATTCTTTTAGTTTCCTACTTTACAATCTATTTTGAGCTATCATTTACAAAACACTATGCCATGACTCAACAAACAAGAAGCTGCTGATTTTCACTTTCTTGGTGCAAAGAATAAGCTGAACAGAAACATGAAGGAATTGAGAGGAGCAATGCTTTGTGAAGATCTCCAGCGGCCACACCTTTCTTGATTAGTGAAATGATGTAATCCATGAACGCTGAATCACAGGGTAATTTAATAGGGCCTCCACTCGGTATCCCAAACTCCTCTTCAGACATGTTGAAGAGTTGCCTAACGACCTCATTTTCAAGGTATGTCAAGGGAATGAGAAATCGCCTTTGATCAATTGTATAGAGTACAAAATGACCCTTTTCAACTATATAGGATGAAGATGTACTACAACTGTCTGAATCACTACCATTTCTTGGAAATGAAATCCTCTTAAAGCTGCATGGCTGCAAACTTCTGCCATCTCCTAGCCATTTTGATGAGTTTCTTGGCACTGATCATTGTCTTTTTTTGTTTTTTGTTTTTTGGGAAGATTGAAACAAGAAAGTAAACAAGAAATTTAGAGACTTTTTGAGGGTTGAATTGTTAATGCTTGTCCTGAATTGGTAATGAAAAGGTTCATGAAAGGGGGATTATTTATACAAGAAACTGGAGACGACTAATCTTTAGTTGGAGCTGAAGTTTTTGTTACTAACAAAAGGCAAAGCCATGTGCTGATGCATGTTGGTCATGTTGATATGGGGCCTTAAATTTGTGGATGAAGCTAGTTTGAAAGGATGGAAAATAATACTAAAGTTTCTTCATTTCTTCACTTTGGTTGACAACAGATTGGGCCTATTAGGTATGATATCAGCTCATACTTAAATAATTTGAAGCCATTAAATGAAGAATAGCTTTTAGAAGGCAAAACCATGTGCTACTCCTTTCTTTGTCATGTCGATAAGGGATCTTTAAATTGTCATCTTGTCTTGTCCTATTCTGCTTTAGTTATAACAAAATTTTTGGGCTTGAGTAATACTGTTGACAGATTTTACTCAAAAGATACATTAACAATAAGAAAACTGAACCATTTTTTGGTTAATAGTATCAAAACAAACTAAGCGATTCAGCAACCAAAGAAATTGGTCGTTGCAGTCAATTCAGAAGTCTTTTTTCTTTGCTTTTTTTCTTTCTTCTTTTTGGTGGAAGACTGTACATGGTAGAAGGACGAAAAGATCATTTTTCACAAAATAGTGTAGGTTATGTGTGAGAAAATGAAGGATATTGATAAATAAAAAGATCATTTATCACAGTTTTCGTCGAGAAACAAAAACTGTGATATTAACCAGTGCAAAATACAGCTTAAAGTCTTCTATTTGAACTATTATGCTTCTATTGGGTTAATGCAGCTTTTGACATAATTTTCTTATGAATTAGGACTAGAAATTTGGATATTCTACATATTTAGAACCCTATTTTGGTAATTTTTGCAGGATCTCGAGGCTATTTTGTGCTTACTGATTGGTCTGTGAATACTTTTGAGGCCAATCAAAAATTGACAACATAAAATATGATCACACTTCTATGTTATCCATTGAATTCACAGGACCCCTAGAAAGCAACTGAAAGAAATCGGATATAATCACAAAGTTAAAGAGTGTTGACAAGAATATGGAGTTTCGATGAATAATAAGATGTTGAATATTCTGTACACTTGTTGAATATCATGTATTCATTACAAAACATTAAGGTCAACAAACTAGTAATTCTGTGTTTCTTAGCTCATGAAGGTATAAAGCTGATGAGCATCGACTGGAAGCTACTGATACAAGCAACGCATTCTGAAGATCTACAGCTACACCTCTTTCGATGAGTGATATGACGTAGTTCATGAATATGGAATCACACGGTAATGTAATAGGTCCATCACTCGGAAGTCCAAACTCTTCTTCAGACATGTGCAATAGTTGTCCGATTATCTCATGTTGTAGATAAGCCAAAGGAACCACAAATCGCTTTTGATCAGTTGTATACACCACAAAATGCCCTTTGCCAACTATAGAATAAGATGTACTACAACACTCTGCGTCATGGTTATTGGATCTTGGAAATGAAATTCTCTTCCTTTGGTTGACCGCAAACTTCTGCCATTTCCTTGCTATCTTGATGATTTTGTTAGCACTGATCATGTTTATTTCTTCGGTTTATAGGAAAGAAAATATTGTTTGAGTTTTTAGAAGGTTTGATTGAGTTCTATCTGCTTGATGATCAAAATGTTTTATGGAAGCAATTTATTTATAGCTGAGGCTAGAGTTATGACTTTGAAAATTGTAGCTCTAGTTGTCAACCTGAGTCAGGTATTGAAGGCAAAATCATGTGCTGATGTTTAATATGGGACCTTAGAAATTGTGGGAATGGCTGGTTGTCATGTTTTAAGTAAAGAGGTTGATGCATTTATTGAATTATTTGTCACTATATCTTTAAACCAAGTGGTCCAAGACTAGGTCATCAACTTCATCCATTCTTCTGGATTTTATAAGAAACAGTAGGGCCTAATGTTGTTGTTCAACAAAATTTATGGTCTGAATACTTTGACATTAACAGAATAAGCAAAACCATGTAAAACTTCATGTGCTGTTGTCTCAAATTTATATGCTAATACACAAAGCGTTTGAGCAGAACACAAATATCTTAGACATTCAAACTTTTATTTCCTGTGCAATTCTCAAAATTGTTGTTCTTTCTTTTCCTTCATCATTTAGAATTACTAAATATCATTAGTGGCAATGGGTATCAAAGTGATTCCATTTATTCAGGCTAATCGGATCCTAAGGAGGTCTTCGACATGTGGAGGTGTTCCAAAAGGACATTGTGCAGTATATGTAGGAGAGAGCCGGAAGAAACTATTCATCGTGCCAATATCATACTTGAACCAGCCTTTATTTCAAGACTTGTTAGCTCAAGCTGAAGAAGAGTTTGACTTTGATCATCCGATGGGCGGTCTCACAATACCTTGCAATGAGGATGTGTTCGTTGATCTCACTTCCCGCTTGAGGATATTATGAATAGGACCATGAAAGAGTAGATTGTAGAGATCTAGAAGTCATTTTCATTGTATAGAGCATTCCCAATGTAAATTAGTCCCAAAACAAAAGTGGAATTTGCACCTTCTTCTCAATCTAGACTTATAAAGTATGAAATTTTAACAGCAAACAACGCTTGAAAGAGGAACACACCATAATTTCACCTCATTTAAACTCTTTATGATTAATTTTCATGTCATTTAGACTTAAAAACTAACTCAGATTTATAATTAATTTACATCAATACAAAACAAATCTAACACTCATAATTTAAAATTAACGTGCGACAAAAAAATCAAATTTGTAGGATGAGACTTATAAACCTCAGTCGATGCGATTTGTAAATCGCATTTATCGAATGCGACTTATAAATCGCATTTCTAAACTACAACTTATAAATCGTATTTAGTTTGCATAATTTTTTTACAAAAGGAGGAGTGTTCAATCATTTTTGTTATTTTACGAAGATTTAAATAGTAGTAAGTGTTTTATTATGCTCTGTTTGGTTGCACGTTTAGAAAATTTCCTGCCGTTAAACTCAGGTTTAGATACTTTTCTTTGATTTATGAGTTCTTTTTTTTTTTTGGGTTATTTTTAAGTGTTATGTCTCCTGTCTTAGTGTTATTTTACAATGCAATATGTAAAGTTTCCCTACTTTTTCGGGAGTTATGCCCTAAAAATAGGAAGAATGAAGAAGAAAATATATGTCCACTAATTGGATTTCATCAACTTAAAATTTAACTACTATTTCCAATGCAACAGAAAATTGCCTACATATTATTTTAAGATTTAAGTAGTGTAATGTAATATGTTAAAGCAATTTACTTATCATTTATTCTAGATTATCAATCAATGTTATTAAATAGAGTTATCTGCAACTACCTTTTAAGTTTTAAATTTTTAGTGCATAGAATTTAAACTCATAATTTGGGACTATTTCAAGATAATAAATGCTATAGATCTGGTTAATTTCAAGATGAAGCTCTATTCACTTTGTAATAAATACAAGCTTTCAGTTGCCTATTTTTCAACTGCTATACAATCTATTTTGAGCTACATTTACAAAACATGATGTCATAACTCAATAAACAAGAAGTTGCTTGTTTCTACTTTCTTGGTGCAGATAAGAGGTTGAATAACAGCATGAAGTAATTCAAAGGAGCAATGCTTTGTGAAGATCTGCAGCAGCTACACCTTTCTTGATTAGTGAAACGATGTAGTCCATGAAGTCTGAGTCACAGGGTAATGTAATAGGGCCGCCACTCGGTAGCCCAAACTCTTCTTCGGACATGTTTAAAAGTTGCCTAATAACCTCATTTTCAAGATAAGCCAATGGAATTACGTAGCGCCTTTGATCAATTGTATAGACTAGAAAATGACTTTTCCCGGCTATAGAAGATGAAGATGTACTACTACTACTGTCTGTATCACTACCATTTCTTGGAAATACAATCCTCTTCCTCTGCTTGGCCGCAAACTTTTGCCATCTCCTGGCCATCTTAATGAGTTTCTTAGCACTGATCATCGTCATTGCTTTTGAAGGTAGGAAAAAAGAAAGTAATGTAGAAATTTAGAGTCTTTTGATAGCTGAACGAATAATGCTCTTCTTTATTGATGAAAAGGCTCATCGAAAACGAAATATATATATATATATATATATATATAAGAAGAAGCTGTAGACAGGCTTTGAGTTGGAGCTGAAGTTTTGCTACTAACAACCAAAGGCAAAGCCATGTGCTGATGCCTGTTGGTCATGTATATATATATGGGGCCTTAAATTGGTAAAACATTCCTCTCTTCACTTTGGTTGACAGCAACTTGGACCAATTAGTTAGGCTATCATCTCATACTTGGGACTTCTCACAAAAATGCCAATAATTTCAAAACCATAAATGAATGAAGAATTGCTGGTTACAAGAACAAACCATGTGCAGATTTTTCTTTATATAAAAAACACTGCATTAAATGTGATTAAAACCAATGCAACACATTTGAATCATAGAAGACATGAGGAAAGAACATGATGAACTATTCTGCTTTTCGTCGGTTGCTCATCACTTACTGCTAGCTATTGGATAGCAGGATTTAGAAGAAGTAGAATTCAATAAAAACTGTGCCTAAAGTCTTCTGTTTGAAGATTCATGGTTCTTGACTTTTGTTTCAGGATAGATAAAAAAAGTCTTATTCAGTATGACATTAGACACCAACTCTTGAAATTTATGATCATGGGACAAAGAAAATATTTTAAACTGCCTATAGAGAGACTAGTTATTTGGTCAAACTAAGCAGCCGTTCAAATACAGTATTTACCTGGTCAACGCAATGTATTTTGACTCTTTAATAAGTATGGGGGAATTCAACAGTTCTGTCTGTTAGCTGAAAAAAAGAAGAAAAACAGAGAGAAGAAGGGAATAATGGAGGAGGGAACTGTATCAAATCAATCGGAAACGTTATCGGTACATCCGGCAGTAAAACCTATATCATTTCTGCTTGGGATTTGGAGAGGTGAAGGCGAAGGCTTTTTCCCAACTATTTCCTCCTTCAATTATTCCGAAGAGCTCCAATTTTCACACTCTCCTAACAAGGTTAGCTTCTGGTTAAGCTCTGAGAATGATATTAATTGGCATACGCAGTACCAATTTGTATTAATCGGGGCGGAGTTTAAGAAATAAATAAAAAAAAAGACTTTTATTTAGCGTTTGGACATAGATTCGATGAAACTCGAAAAAGAGTTTCCGGAGTTGTGTTGAAAAATAATTTTTAAATTTTAGAAGTTGTATCTGGACATGCATTTTGTTTGAAAAGTTGAAATTTTGCAAGTGGAACAACATTTTCGCCCAAAAACTATCCTAAATCAGTTTTTGAAAATTTGAAATTTTTTGAATTTTTTCCCCCCAAAATGTGATCATATTTCATAAACAAACAATGTTTTAAAAAAAAATTGAAAAAATAAAACCAAAATCTTTGGCCAAAGCTTAAACTTGTGGTCTGAAACAAGTCATAAAAAAAGTTAAATTGTTTGTAAGATATAGAAAAGTATTGTTTCTTTTAGACAAACTAAACAAATGAGTTTTGTGTTAATCAGCCGGTCATAGCTTATTCTCAAAAGACATGGAACTTGAAATCTGGACAACCTATGCATTCTGAGAGTGGATACTGGAGACCTAAACCTGATGGAACAATTGAAGTCGTCATTGCTCAAAGCACTGGTCTTGTTGAAGTCCAGGTGATTTTCTCCTTATGAATAATCAAATGCAACTTTTGACCTAGACATTTTACATAGAAACTTGTTTTCGTGGAGGTTAAGTTTTGTGCATGGACATATTCACACAATCAGGTCTTTTATAAGGTTGTTATAGGTAAATCTCTATAACAAACGTTAATTGGTAATCTGAAACTAACTTATCAAAGTTAAAAATTCAGTGACTGTGTACATAACTTAAATCCATTTCTGCGATTCATGGGTTATGCCGCGGAATTTCATGTTATCAAGTTTCTTAGATGTGCTAAGAACATTTTTTCATGTTTGGCTGGACAGTTCTAATATTGAGCTGGCAATTTGAAATGGCTGTTGATGTTAAAACTCCACACTCGCTAACAGTTCTAATGTTAGTGCATGTTGGCGTGTTCGGTTGTTTATCCAGTTTGGTCAACCATAGGATCATAATATTTCCACTTTGATTCTACAGAAAGGAACGTATGACATGAAAGAGGGAGTTGTGAAGCTTAACAGCGAACTGGTCGGCAATGCTTCCAAGGTAACCTCCTCTTGCAGCAGTGCTTATCTAACTAGAGAATTCATAAGAGAAGAAGAATCCTTATATAAAACAATTTTTTCTAGTCTAATGAGAAAGCATGTCATAGTTGTAATAAGTTTTCTTTTTTGTGCTTTGAATTGAGATCGACTTGGTCTTTAGTCTACCCTGATGAAACCTAAAATAATGAGAAAACATTTCGTAGTTGCAATAAGTTTGACTAATGTGATCCTTCACTTACCTGGTGGACAGGTCAAGGAGATCAGTCGAGTTTTTAAAGTGGAGAATTGTGAACTATCTTATGTTGTGGAAATGGCCACCAGTCTAATTGGTCTTCAGCCGCATCTCAAAGCCTCGCTTAAGAAGCTCTAGGCAGCCAGCTCATGACAAGAGACATCAGTATCTATACTATACCCCTGATGCACTTGTTCACTGGTCTTTGTGTGTATTGACATTGGATCTTTTGATAACCGTATTGACATTTTATCTTCTCTTACCATAAGTATAATATTGAATGTTAATTTCAAGATAAGGCTCTATTCCCTTTGTAATAATACAAGCTTTCAGTTGTCTATTTTTTCAACTGCAATACAATCTATTTTGTGCTATCATTTACAAAACATGATGTCATGACTCAATAAACAAGAATCTGTTGATTTCCACTTTCTTGGTGCAAATAAGAAGTTGAACAACAACATGAAGTAATTGAGAGAAGCAATGCTTTGTGAAGATCTCCAGCAGATACACCTTTCTTGATTAGTGAAATAATGTAGTCCATGAAGTCTGAATCACATTGTAATGTAATAGGGCCACTAGTCGGTAGCCCAAACTCTTCTTTAGACATGCTTAAAAGTTGCCTAATGACCTCATTTTCAAGGTAAGCCAAGGGAATGACGAACCGTGCTTGGTCAGCTGTATATACTACAAAATGACCCTTTTCAACTATAGAGGATGAAGATGTACTACAACTGTATGTATCACTGGCATTTCTTGGAAATGAAATCCTCTTCCTCTGCTTTGCCGCGAACTTCTGCCATCTCTTGGCCATATTGATGAGTTTCTTAGTACTGAGCATATTCATTTCTCTGGAAAACTAGAAACAAGAAAGTAAATTAGAACCTTAGGGATCTTTGATGAATGAACTGATAATGCTTGTTTTATGATGAAAAGGCTCATGAAAGGAGGATCATTTATACAAGAGGTTGTAGACGGGCTTTGAATTGGAGCTGAAGTTATGTTACTAACAACAAAAGGCAAAGCCATGTGCTGATGCCTTTTGGCCAGGTTGATATGGGGCCTTAAATTTGTGGATGAAGTTAGCTTGAAAGGATTAAAGATGATAAGTTTCTTCCTTTCTTCACTTTGGTCGACAACTGATTTGGCCTATTAGTTATGTTATTAGCTCATGCTTGGGACTTCTCACCAATGACAATAATTTGATACAATTAGATGTTGAATTGCTAGTGGAAGGCAAAACCATGTGCTACTCCCCTCTTGATCATGTAGATGGGGGACATTTATATTGTCGTCTTGGCTGGTTGTGCTGGAAAAACCACTGCATTAAAGTTGTTAGATAGGGACACAAGTATATTAGTGTAAATGTTTGTAAATTCAAAATTTGGTGAGTTAACACTGCTCACAAATTTTACTCAAAAGACATTTAACAGTAAGAAAACCCAATCTTTAGTTGATAGTGTCGAAACAAATGAGGGGATAGCAACCAAAGAAAAATCAACTTTATCAATTAATTCAATAAGTCTTTTTCTTGTTCTTTTTTTTTTCTTTGGTGGAGGGAGAGGTGTGCATATGAAGAAGATCAAAAGATGATATCTTACAAAATAGTGTGGTTTATTAAGAAGAAAGTGAAGGAGGTAATAATTGAAGGGATATTGTTCCCTTGAGAAAAAATAAATGTGATAAAGCCACTGCAACATAGACGTACGAATGGTTCTTGACTTTTGTTTCAGTATAGAAGTTTGCTCTCTATATTACTTGAAAAGATGGCTTTATTCAGCTCTTGAGACAACTTTCTGTTTGATTATGCAACAATCTGATATTAAGGGTGCGCGACCTACAGAGATCTATAACCCTATTGGTTAGAGTATGAAATATCTATAATGTTATAGTCCTTGTTATGTAACATTCCAAAATCAAAAGATTGGATCCCTGCTTTATTGTTCACTGCTTGTTTTCTGAAAATTTTCTAGGCTGTTCCCAAAATTGACCACATAAAATTTTGTAATCCACATCATGTTGTCTGTTCATTCATTTTCACTTAATGTTGTCATAATTAGTGGAGTTCAATCAAATTATAGGACTACTAGAAAGCAAATAAAAGAATCAGATTCTCCTAAATGATCAGAGAATTAAACCGTTTGGGGACAAGAATATAGAATTCTGATGAATAATTGAGATTTTAATATGATGTACGCTTGTGGAGTATTTTGTATCCTATACTACTACAAAACTTATCATAGGTCAATAAACTAGCAATTGGGGGTTTCTTTGTTCTAGAACGGATGAGCATCGGCGTGAAGCAACTGATACAAGCAAAGCATTCTGAAGTTTTGCAGGTACACCTCTTCTGATGAATGATATGATGTAGCTCATGAAGAGGGCATCACATGGTAATGTAATAGGTCCATCACTTGGAAGCCCAAACTCTTCTTCAGACATGTGCAACAGTTGTCCGATTACCTCATGTTGTAGATAAGCCAAAGGAACCACAAATCGCTTCTGATCAGTAGTATAGACCACAAAATACCCTTTACCAACTATGGAAGTTGGTGTGCTACAACTTTCTGCATCATGGTAATTGGATCTTGGAAAAGAAATTCTCTTCCTCTGTTAGGCTGCAAAATTTTGCCATTTCCTTGCCAGCTTGATCAGTTTCTTAACACTGATCATATTGATTTTCTTTGAAATATAGGAATGAAATAAACTTGAGGATATTTTTGAAGGTTTGATTGTGCTATCTGCTTGATGATCAAAATGTGGCTCATGGGAGCAGTTTATTTATAGTTGAGGCTAGAGAATAAATTTCAAGTATAAGCTGTGGTTATCAACCTTAGTTAGGTGTGCTGGGGAGAATCATGTGCTGCTGTTGAATATGGGACCTACTGCATTGTGGATATCGCTGGTTGTCTAATTTTGTCAGTTCTACCATTTTGCTCTGTAGTATAAGAACAAACACAGCCAAGCTTGAGTAGGACTAATAAAATGTAACAGACATCATGAAAAGGACCTAAGAATTGTGGTATTTGTGTTGATATGCCTATCTGGTTATCCTTCTTTGCTGAGTCTGTGTCACCATATCTTTAAGCCAAGTGGTCCAGAATTATGTCATGAGCTATATCCATTCTAGTGGCTTTTAATTTTAAGGGTGTACTAAGATAGTAATAGAGCATGCAAAACCATGTGAAACTTCATGTGGATTGTCTCTCAACAGCCACCACTAAATTTGTCTTACTAGTAAACTTTTGGATGTGAGACTTACCATCAATTTATATAAGAACGTAGACAAAGTTCGTTAGAAGCTAAGGAACAGTTTGGTTTTGATCATTATGGTCGTCTCACAAAACACAAATCCCCTGCAAAGAGGAGTACATTGATCTCACTTCTTGGTTGAGAAGGAATGGAGAGGGAATCAAATCCCAATTTTCCTTTAAACAATTTGTACACTAGTAAAGCAGAAATTATAGCTTGTAAGTTGAGGAGTTAGATATATTTGTTAGCACTCCAAGCTTAGTAAAGGGAAGGCTTGTTAGTACCGAAAATGAATGAAGAAACTTTACCCAAGAGAAGGAATTTTATTCCTGGGTTTTTGGTCGAAGAGATGCCAGAACATTCTTTACTATTAAACGTTTTCATTTTGACTTGAAAAATAAGAACTTTTGCAATTCATTGTTTCATCCGCTTCTCTTGGTGTGAAATTTGGCAGTAGCATTTACTGGTGCTATTACCAGAAAATATCATGGGAGGAAGAGACGCTTAAATCGTGACTTTGTTCGACAACATAATGGACCTATCAAGTCACACTTTAGGACTTCTCGTCTCGCCAATAGAATTTGAGACCTTTGAATGAAGACTAGTTCTCTTTGTGATAGATTAAGTTTGCTTAACAACTCTGCCGGTGTGAGCTCGCTTACATTGCCGGTCCCAAGCCCGAATAAAGGAGGAAGGTTGCGTTAGGTTAGCAACCAGCGTAAAACTTGTCAATTCATGTTGAATCCTCATAATTTACTTGCATTTTTATTTTTTTGGTAATGATATGAGTTGAGCTTAATGAAAAGAATGAGGATTCATATTGCCGACCCCAACTTTTTTGAGACTCAGGCGTAGTTGTTGTTGTATATTAAGTTTGCTGAACCATGTGCTACCTGCCTGCCTTGTCATGTAGGTAGGGGACCTTCACATCGAATATTAGACTTCTTCCTACCTTCTCTAATCTTCTTTTGACTTATTAGTTATGATATCAAGTCTTCCTATGTGCAAAAGGAAAGGATCAACTGCCCTTTTCACTGTCCAAAATTTGCTAATTTTTCTTGGGCTTTAATACCTACTGCTATTGTTCATGTGATTGTTTATAAATTGAAAATGGCAAGTTAAAAATTGTTTACAATTTACTCAGAAGACAACATTAACAACAAGGAAACTAAAATCATCTTGGTTGAAAATAGTCTTCTGTTGAAGCCCTGGTGCATACTTTTACAATTAAGTCAATAGTCTTTTTTTTTTACTTCTTCTTGCTGGAAAGAATGATTTAATGAAGCTTTTGACATTACGTTCTTTGAATTGAGCTTATCAACTTACCCAGTGATTGTGAAAGCCTCAAGCTATATATTCTAGGTGCAAGACTAATAGAGAGCAACGAATATGCAATCAGATTTTCCCAATTTATAAAGAATAAAACAGTTTGGATAAGAATATGGATTTTTCATGAACAATTAGATGTTAACATTCTGTACACTTGTTGAGTATCATATATCCATTACAAAACTTATTGAAGTTAGCTCAACAAACTAGTAATTGCTGGTAACTTCGTTCTTGAAAGTATGAAGCTGATGAGCATCGAGTGGAAGCGACTGATACAAGCAAAGCATTCTGAAGATCTACAGTTACACCTCTTCTGATGAGTGATATGATGTAATTCAAGAATAAGGCATCACATGGTAAAGTGATAGGGCCATCACTTGGAATTCCAAACTCTTCTTCAGACATGTGCAATAGTTCTCTGATTATCTCGTGTTGAAGATAAGCCAAAGGAACCACAAATCGCTTCTGATCGGTTGTATAGACCACAAAATGCCCTTTTCCAACTATACAAGATGATGTGCTACAGCTTTCTGCATCATTGTAACTTGATCTTGGTAAAGAAATCCTCTTCCTTTGCTTAGCTGCAAACTTCTGCCATCTCCTTGCCATTTTTATCAGTTTCTTAACACTGACCATACTGATTTCTTTGGAAGATAGGAAAGAAAAAAGGTTGGTTACTTTTTAAAAGGTTTGAGTAATTGCTATCTGATTGATGATCAAAATGGCTCATGGAAGCAGTTCATTTATAGTTGAGGCTAGAGAATGAATTTGAATTGTAGCTAAAGTTGTCAACCTGAGTTAGGTAGGCACGGCAGAATCATGTGCTGCTGTTGAATATGGGACCTAATGAATTGTGGATATGGCTGGTTGTCTAGTTCTGCGATTGAAGAAAAGAAGTTAATGCATTTCTTCCCTTTTTATGTGCAGAATAACAACAAATGGGCTAAGCTAAAGTAGAATAAAAAAAATTGTTGCAGACATTGAAAGGGACTAGAAAAGAGTGAGTCATATAATTTTTCTTTTTTATTGAGTTGATGAAAATAGCAGACAAGTTCATTTAATTGGATTATGAGTATTTTGTTGTTATTCCACAAATATGACATTTTCTTCTAAGTGCTTGTCAAAGAGTTAGAAGGCAATGGCATGTGATATTTCATGTCATGTTATCTTTCTTTCTCTTGTGGTATTTCTATTGCTTATTCCTATCTGGCATTTTTTGTCACCTCACCTCTAAACCAGGTGGTCCTGGACTAAATCATCAAATTTATCCATTTTTGTGGATGTTATTTTAAGGGTGTTTTTTTCTGCTCCAAATCATAACAAGCAGTAGGGCCTAGTGTTGTTGTTCAACAAAATTTATGGTCTAAGTTATTTGACAATAACAGAGTAGGCAAAACCATGTGAAACTTCATGTGCCATTGTCTCTCACCAGTAGCCACTAATTTCTCTTAACCACTAAACTTTTGGATATGAAACTTGTCATAAACTTGTATATAATCAGACCCAAAGCATTTGAGCAAAACACAAGTACCCTGACATTCAAAAAACTTTCATTTTTGTGCAATTCTCAAAGTTCTTGTACTCTATTTTCCTTCATTGTTTACAGTTACATCATATTCCTTGAGAATGGGTATCAAAGTGACTCCATTTATTCAGGCTACTCGAACCCTAAGGAGGTCTTCAACAACTGGAGGTGTTCCAAAAGGGCATTGCGCAGTATATGTAGGGGAGAGCCAGAAGAAGCGATTCGTCATGCCAATATCATACCTTAGCCAGCCTTTATTTCAAGACTTGTTAGCTCAAGCTGAGGAAGAGTTTGGATTTGATCATTCAATGGGCGGTCTCACAATACCTTGCAAAGAGGATGTGTTCATTGATCTCACCTCCCGCTTAAGGAGATTATGAGTAGGACCATGGTGCAGATTCTTCTGCCCATGAAATTTTGTAAAGCAGTAGTTTTAGAAATGAGAAAGATGAGAGATAGTAGAGATGTCACTTCCTTTTAAGTCGGACTTGACAATGAGGGAAAACAATTCCTTGTTTTTTCTTAACCATTTTGTATAGTAGTAGTAGTAGAAAACTTGGATTTTCTGCTTGTAAAGTTAGTTAAAATGACTAACCTCCTGTCAAATGAATATAGCCAATTTTTATTCAAGCAAATTTTTTCAAGTCACTTGATTGGAAAGACTCAAAAGCCTTTTATATGTTCATGTTTCCTACTTCAGTAGACGAATGTGCCTGACATTTTGCATAAATGTGCTGCTGGCTCTATTGACACCAACAATTAAGTACTACTATAGCTATTTACAGCTCTTCGACCCTCCTTTGTGTGTCTGTTAAAACTCCTAAAAGTTTAAAATCTCCAGATGCTTTCTTTTGTGTTTTCTGTCTCAATTTCTAAATTCAGCAACCGATGATTTCTCTCAGAGAAGCAAGGGAAATGTTTGTTGCTCTACAAAGATGAGAAATTCTGTTTTATTGAGCGATAGGCCATAGTTTCGGTGCTCCATAATTTGTCCAAACTTTAGGCTACTTTACTCTTCAATTCCACTAAGCCTATCAGAGACCATGTCTTGTAAGTCTAGAGAAATGCACTATTCAAAGTCTTTTTGAATCATTGCAACTTACTAAACTACTTGTTCTTGGCAGGTGGTTTGTCTTGCAATCTTTCCAGATATTATTACTTATTTACGTCCGAGTTATAAGGTAATTGAAATTACACATGTAAATATCTTTACATATTTGTGAGCATGTCACTATCACTTAAGACCTGCGCTCCGGTATTATGGCCTGAGGAAAACTTGTAGGATCCATTTGTACATTTGGATATGAATGACCTATTACCAGAAACAATAATCAAAGTGGTGGCCAATTAGGGTGGCGTAGGATTAACCATTGAGCTTTGTTATTACTTTCTAATTGGTTGTCGTAATTTGCAGCTTCCTTTCAATCTATACTGATCAAGCATTAACGTTAACTGCGAAGGAAGTCTGGAAAAGGAACAGTTAATGATTTCACTTCATTTAAACTCTTTACAATTAATTTTTCATGTCATTCAGACTTGTGTTGTTTTGATTCATACGTCTCTAAGTTTTCGATAGACAAAGTCAATTGCCTGCAATAAAATAATAGTGCTACTCCAAGATGAGAATGTTAAAGCTCTATTCCATCTCTAATGAAACAAATTTCAGTTGCTTATTTTTCTTCTGCTATACAATCTGTTTTGAGCTATCATTTACAAAATATTGCCATTTCATGTCTCAATAAACAAGAATCTGTTGATTTCCACTTTCTTGGTGAAAGGAAGAAGTTGAACAGCAACATGAAGGAATTGAGAGGAGCAATGCTTTGTGAAGATCTCCAGCAGTTACACCTTTCTTGATCAGTGACAAGATGTAGTCCATGAACGCCGAATCACAGGGTAATGTAATAGGACCACCACTTGGTAGTCCAAACTCTTCTTCGGACATGCTTAAAAGTTGCCTAATGACCTCATTTTCAAGGTAAACCAAGGGAATGACAAAATGTGCTTGATCATCTGTATATACTACAAAATGACCCTTTTCAACAATAGAGGTTGAGGAGGTACTACAACTGTCTGCATCACTACTATTTCTTGGAAGTGAAATCCTCTTCCTCTGCTTGACCGCGAACTTTTGCCATTTCCTTGCCATTTTGATGAGCTTCTTAGTACTGAGCATTGTCTTTCTTTCCATTTTTCTTTTTCTTGAAAGTTAGGAAGCAAGAAAGTAAACAAGAAATTTAGAAACTTTTGATGGCTGAAAAAATAATTCTTTTACTTGATGATGAAAAATGTCCATAGAAAAGGGGGTTATATTTATACAAGAGGTTGTAGACAGGCTTTGAGTTGGAGATGAAGTTTTGTTACTAACAACCAAAGGCAAAGCCATGTGCTGATGCCTGTTGGCTATGTCGCTATGGGGCCTTAAATTTTTGGATAGAGCTAAGTTTCTTCTTTCTTTACTTTGTCAACGGGGGCATATTAGTAATGATATCAGCTCATACTTGGTTACTTCTCACCGATGCCAATAATTTGAAACCATTAGATGATCAATTGCTGGTTAGAAGCAAAACCATGTGCTTCTACCTTCTTGGTCATGTAGATAGGGGACCTTTGAATTCTCATCTTGGCTAGTTTTGCTATAAAAGAACAAATGCATTAAAGCTGAGTTTAGAGGAAGGACTCTGTAGGAATAGTTTAGGTTAATTGGAGTATGAGAAACCTGCTGGCTGCTGTTATTCCACAAATATGGGACCTACTGCATTGTGGATATCGCTTGTTGTCTAATTTTTCAGTTCTACTGTAGTATAAGAACAAACACAGCCAAGCTTGAGTAGGACTAATAAAATGTAACAGACATCATGAAAGGGGCCTAAGAATTGTGGTATCTGGTTATCCTTCTTTGCTTAGTCTGTGTCACCATATCTTTAAGCCAAGTGGTCCAGAATTATGTCATGTCATGTTATGTTTCTTTCTCTTGTGGTATTTCTGTTGCTATTCCTATCTGGCATTCTTTGTCACCTCACCTTTAAACCAGGTGGTCCTGGACTAAATCATCAAATTTATCCATTCTTGTGGATGTTATTTTAAGGGTGTCTTTTTCTGCTCCAAATCATAACAAGCAGTAGGGCCTAGTGTTGTTGTTCAACAAAATTTATTGTCTAAGTTATTTGACAATAACAGTGTAGGTAAAACCATGTGAAACTTCATGTGCCATTGTCTCTCACAAGTAGCCGCCAATTTCTCTTAACCACTAAACATTTGGATATGGAAATTGTCATAAACTTATTATATATAATCAGACCCAAACATTTCAGCAGAACACAAGTACCCTGACATTCAAAAAAAATTCCATTTTTGTCCAATTCTCAAAGTTCTTGTTCTTTATTTTCCTTCATCATTTACAGTTACATCATATTCCTTGAGACAATGGGTATCAAAGTGACTCCATTTATTCAGGCTAGTCGAATCCTAAGGAGGCCTTCAACAACTGGAGGTGTTCTCAAAGGACATTGCGCAGTATATGCAGGAGAGAGCCAGAAGAAGCGATTCGTCATGCCAATATCATACCTGAGCCAGCCTTTATTTCAAGACTTGTTAGCTCAAGCTGAGGAAGAGTTTGGATTTGATCATTCAATGGGCGGTCTCACAATAGCTTGCAAAGAGGATGTGTTCATTGATCTCACCTCTCGCTTGAGGAGATTATGAGTAGGACCATGGTGCAGATTCTTCTGTCCGTGAAATTTTGTAAAGCAGTAGTTTTAGAAATGAGAAAGATGAGAGAGAGTAGAGATGTCACCTCCATTTAAGTGGTACTTGACAATGAGGGAAACAAATTCCTTGTTTTTTCTTAACCATTTTGTATAGTAGTAGTAGTAGAAAACTTGGATTTTCTGCTTGTAAAGTTAGTTAAAATGACTAACCTCCTGTCAAATGAATATAGCCAATTTTTATGCAAGCAAATTTTTTTAAGTCACTTGATTGGAAGACTCATAACCTTTTATATGTTCATGTTTCCTACTTCAGTAGACAGATGTGCCTGACATTTTGCACAATTATGCTGCTGACTCTATTGACACCAGCAATTAAGTACTA